AAAAAAAAAAATTGCAACTTTTTTACAATGAGGGGGTCAGATGTTGTAAAATAATTGCAATTTTCTTGCAAGAAAGTTGAAATCATCTGGAAATTTTATTGCATTTAAATTGCAATTTTTTCGTTGCAAAATGCTACTTGGGGAACTGCATTAGTCTTTTGCGGTTCGTATATGTAATCAAAAATCGAACGAGGGCAAAGTCTGTTCAAATTTTTATCTTTGCACAACTTGGCTCCATCGACAAAGATTTAATCAATGGAGAAGGGTCGAAAAGAGAACTTAAATAAATCGTGAAAGAAAATGTAGCATGTCCAAAATGCCGCATTTTTCTACATGACCTTTCACAATAGAAGCGCGCCCAGTTGCCTTCCAATATCTGCATTTTCTATGTACCCCGATTATGGGACGCACTTTTTGCTTACCAGAGGTACGAACCTACATACTCCATACGAGTAAACATGACAACTCCCTTAAATTGCAGTTTCTTTTCAGTATAAAAATCACACTACACTGGAAAAAAAAACACATTGGATCTAGAGTCCAGACTCTTAAAAACATCGAAGAGAAAAAATACTCCCGATTCAATCGGATTTTTGCTTAAATCAAGAACCAAGCCTCTTAATTTGAGCGGATTTCCTATTGATTTTCCTAAGCAAAATTCTGATTGAATCAAGAGTATTTTTTCTTGTCAATGTTTTCAAGAGTCTGGACTCTAGATCCAATGTGTTTTTTTTTTCCAGTGTACGAGATATTCCACCGCCGTTTGGTGTTTACTCGGGGAGAAATGAAAAATCGAAAATTAAAATTGAAGTGTTGAAAAGCAGTTGCTCGTCAATCAATCATGATACAATATTTTAATAGGGATATCGTAACGGCCGCTCAATTCAAATGCAGTATCTTCGCCAAGAGCATTTTCTTAAACTGGATCAACCTCAGAGGAAACGGGAACAGAGGTTGAAGCTGATTCGCCTGCTGGTAGCCATTGATATTGATATTAACATGGGGCGCAGGATACGATACCGGCTCTTTCTCAGTATGGATGACGTACGCTACAGAACTCTCCGTCGTCGTTTTGGGGGGCGGATACGACGGGGCGGGGTGTTCAGGGGGCAGGTAAATCGGGGCCGGGTCTGGCGGGATGTACGTGGGGGGCTTAGGGCTCTCAGGAGGCAGATAGGTCGGAGGAAGAAGTGTGGAGGGTTTCGGCGTCTCGGGAGGCAGGTATGCCGGGCCTGGGGTTGATGGTTTTTGAGTCTCAGGGGGTGCTGAAGTAGTGGTAGTCGTGGTGGTTGTAGTGGTTGTTTCGGGAGGCAGGTAAAACGGGGATGGTTCCGTGGATGGTGGGAGGTAGATGGACGGTGGGGGTGGAGGCGGACTCGACGTCGCCTTGGGGGGTGTGACGTAAATCTCGGTGCTCGTCGAGGTGAGATCATGGAGGTCCGTGCAATTGATAAGGATGATGGTGCCGTTGAAGACGGTTATGTTGGTGTTGTCTTCGGGGAGTTTGGGATCCTCGTAGACGTAGCCGGTGGTCGGGGGCTCAGGGGTGGTTGTCGTGGGCGTGGTGGAGGTGGGGCAGGGTGGGACGTAGGCGTAGCCCTCCTGCGTCTCGTTGCGCCCCTCGGTGTCGGCCGCCTGGACGCAGAGGGGCGGTTCGGGGGGCTGGAGCTCGGCGTCGGGGAGCGGGCGGTTCTCGAAGTACTCGGGCGGGTTGTACACGGAGTAGCGGTTCTGGATGCGCTGGACGATGCGCTCGATGAAGGCCGGGAACTGGCCGCGGTAGATGGCGATCGGCTGGTTCGTCTCGGGGATGTGGACGACGAGCGGGTAGCCGGCGACGACGCCACTCACGGGGGCCCCTGCGTTTTTGTCCAGGTGGGCGACGACCGGCTGGACGCCTGGGTACTGGACGGGGTAGACGTTGACCGGGTCTTGGGCCGGAGGAAGAATGATGGGCACGCTGGGCAGGACGTCGCCGGATGCGGGGCGGGGCTGGGAGAATTTGTTGCCGACCGCGTGGGGCTGGGGTGATAGGTTGTTCTCAGCCTGCACGTGGCTGATCAACCTGGAAAACGGAAAACGAAGTATAAGCTTTTCGGGTTTATGAGCAATTCACACTGGAAAAAAACACTTTTGATCTAGAGTCCAGACTCTTGAAAACATTGACAAGAAAAAATACTCTCCATTCGATCAGATTTTTGCTTAGTTCAAAAGGAAATTCCCTCAAATTAAGAGGCTTGGCTCTTGATTTAAGCAAAAATCCGATTGAATATTTTTATTTCTTGGAGTATTTTTTCTTGTCGATGTTTTTAAGAGTCTGGACTCTAGACCCAATGTGTTTTTTTTTTTCAATACAGCGTAGTCGAATCAGTTAAAAGTAAGCCGTCACTTCCATAGGAAGGTAAAAATTCAAAACGCCTTCATTTTTGAAGTATGCAACATGGGTATCTATGGAGCACGCATGCCTGCACTCAGGCGTCATCAATAACATCGCGCTCACCAGCCGCTCAGTTAGACTACCTTATTTGCATGTAACTGCTGTTTCTAGATCATCAATAAAAGAACCTATCCGCATGAAGAATTTGATGCCATCTGTTTCGTACCTTGGTTTCTTCTTTTGTCCCATCCTCGTCGAGTTTCTCATGAACGAAACAACGTTTGTCAGACAATGCATATTTCAAGCATTTTTATACTTCGGGTACTTTGGAACTTGATCCTATGACTTATGTTTCTTTTCGCTATTTCTTTAGCAGAGCACAAACACAAGAATAATTCAAGTTGATATCATCCGACCACTGCAGATTAAATTGTCCATTCTCTAGTCTTATAATCTGTCAGGAAATAATGGTATTTATTACTGCGTGCGAGTGGATTATGGTGAGCATTTTCGCTTTTGCGCTCCGGAGATCTCCTTTTGACTCAAACTTGACATGACTGACACACTTTTGAAAGCTGTCTAACGGTTTGCAGAAGTCACCGCCCGCAAATATGTTACTTATCAAGAACCCACGCATGAGTGTCATTAAAAATGATGCCTCCGTTGTCAAATCTAACCACTTGCATGTACTTTTAATGGGTTTACCTCTCAAGCGTAACGTAAATTACGGGAGGCGTAGATAAGAACGTTACGAAGATGCATCAGGAAAAACGGAGGTAGCATGTTACAAATGCTCAAATATCCTCTGAGCATCTGTATTGGATTATACCTACCTCAGAGGTGTTCGGCGTGTGGTATGAAATGGAAGAAACTTCGGATTTATTTCATGAGGTTTCATGAAGCTGTGAAATTCATGAGAAATATGATACATCATCTCTAAGGACGCAGGTGAACAATTTGTACGATTAGAAGACTAACAACTCACAAAATGTATCGATAGGTCTATGCTTTTTTTTTTTTTTTTTTTTCTCGTATGTGAAACAAGAACGGTAAAATTAAGAAATAATCATGTAACACAGCACAGCACGGAACTAAAGCCCTGTACCTGATTTTATCCGGAGCGGCTCAGAAGTTTTGCAATTCAGACGAAAGAAACATTTTTGTCAAACATCGCACTGATTTTTTTGGCAGAATGGATACCTAATCAATCTTAAATGTATTCAATGTTCGATTTGACCCGACGTAACTTAGGTTCTTTCGTGAGTGGGATGTTCGAATGCTCTCATTTTAATGTAAATGAAAAACGTTACTTTTTCCATTATGATTAGATTTTGGAGTTTTTATATCTTCAGCGTGTTCTGTGTGACACTTTCATGCGGAAACATGTCTTAAAAGAGCTCATTTTTTTCTCCGTATTATGTGAGGCTCACTTCGCGGTGAGGACACTTCTAACATAATATTTCATATTTTAGGAGGAAATGGACATTTTGTGACTCTGGAACGTTTGTTTGTACCTATCTTACTGACAAAATACCTAACCTAGTTGCACCTGTGAGAGCGTATCGACGCTACGCGAGGGAAAAAGTCAAAACGCCTTCAATTTATCGCTTATGCAATGAGGACATCCAGAGAACACGAATAGTTGCATCCAAGGGTTATGATCAGTATCGTGCCACGCCGCCGTGTGCGGTTAAATAGTTTTGGATCAATAATGCTGTCCTGGTCGATCTATTCTTATTAGGGAGGGATTTGCATTAAGTTCTTCGTTTTTATCGCGAAAAAATAATGGACGCGAAGAAAAATTCCATTTCAAGGGAGTGTTAAACAATGTGAGAACATCGTCGATACACTTTGTCCTAAAAATAGGGAAAGCCGGACTTCAGCCAACCACTTCCAGGTGACGTTTCCTGAGAAGCTCGATGGCGCCGTTGCTATTGTGTACGTCGCAACTCTCAAGATTTTAAAAAGTTGAAATTGTTTTGGTGGCTTATGACATTGATCAAAAGAGAGAGTACCTTAAATTTCCTGCCAAATAGGTATTAGTGCGAGGCCGTGTCTGAATCAAGTAGGTAAGTTAGGCCGGAAAAATTGATGAGAAATAACACTCGATTTTGGGGGAAAAAGCGATTATGATTCCTCTCCTGAAGGAGGATGGTGTATGGTTTTTGACCTCTTCGAATCCTAATGCACCGAGAGGCCTCAGAACCGCCCATATGCGCTAAGCACTGCCTTGTTGCCGAAAAGAGTAGGAACGACCAATTCGAGCACCTACCCTAATTTAAATGACTGAATTATTCCGCTCTCTCTAAAATGCGCCCTTCTCTGATCGGTCGACGAGTTTTTGACTTTCAAGTAACCCCTTCCTTCACTTCTGGTTGTGGATCAAAGTAAACAATTTTTTCAAAAAGCTCAAAAACTTACATACATACATTCCAGTCGCTTTACAGCGCGCTCGGGCGCTCTGCGACACCTAATCGCCATCCTTGCCTATCGATCCAGAGGTCATCTGGTAGATGGCTCAAAACCTTTCACCGTACAATTTTGTTAGTCAATGCGTTTCAAGACCTTCTTTCACTGTTTGTTTTAACATTTCTATCAAGGTAAACAAACAAGATGACGATAGAGCTCTAGAAGTGAGAGGAATTTTCCTGTTTTAAACTTCTGAATTGAGTTCTGCACAAACTTTGATTTACATTTTTATCGTAAATGACACTCTTGTGTTGTTAGGTATCATTCATGTCGCACCCGATTGCACGAATTCCTCATGATCGGGTTTGTTTACATTGCTCCACAAGAGCCCCATGGGAAGCCAAAAATAGATGAAACAATCAGGGAGTAGCATAGCTATGGCAGTACTTCCCCTATACTGCCGTGCTAAGGAAGAACGCCGCATAAACATTCGAGAGTTGCCAAATTTCACCGAATGAAACATGTATTTTTTAAGGAAGTTTGGTTTATTTTTCCTTGAAATTTGCAGATATTTTAGATTAAACATCGAACAAAATTGTCGGGAAAAGAGGAGAAATATCCAAGATTTTCCCAATAAATTCATTTTTCATTGAAGGAGATATGGCATCGTCTGGAGGCTCATACGGCGTTTTCCCTTAGCACGGTATTGGTACTGGAGCTCTCTCCGCCGCACAATAATGGATCGAGTCACTAGAAGAGGTCGGACAAAATTTGGAAACTTTAAACGCTTACAACTCCGTTTACACAAAATTTTGAAGTTCCAAAAGTGGATTTATTGGTTTTCTCGTGAAATTTTCTCTTACAGTACCCCTTGAAACTAAGAGAGTGACGAAATAAGCATCAAAATTTGCGGATTTAGTAAAAAATTTCATATCCGACTCTTTCATTCCTCTCTAATGAAGATGCTGCATGTGTGAGGAATTTGCGATTTGACCATTGATTCTTATGTAAAAGTTTGCGAGAAACACGATGCTGCAACTGGTTTTCTCTAAAATCAACTCCCAAGCTCAAAAAAAGCTCTCAAGTTGAGGCCAAAATGGAGGGGATACCCCACGCTATCCTGAGTGTCCACCTCTACATCAAGACAAACTCTCCATGCAAATTTAGGGAACAAGTACATTGACAGGGCTGCCACTTTATTTGGGGACTCCAAAACTGAAAACACGGCAACCGTGCTTATGTATTTGCTCCCTATCTTCGCACGGAGAGTTTGTTTTGATGTAGAGGTGGACCCTCAGGATAGCGTGGGATATCCCCTCCATTTTGACCTCAACTTGAGAGCTTTTTTTGAGCTTGGGAGTTGATTTCAGAGAAAACCAGTGGCACCGTCGTGTTTCTCGCAAACTTTTACGTAAGAATCAATAGTCAAATCGCAAATTCCTCACACAGGCAACACACTGGAAAAAAAAACATTGGATTTAGAGCCCAGACTCTTGAAAACATTGGCAATGAAAAATGACTCTTGATTCAATCAGATTTAAGCTTAAATCAAAAGAAAATCCGCTCAAATTAAGAGGCTTGGTTCTTGATTCAAGCTCAAATATGATTGAATCAAGAGTATTTTTTTCTTGTCGATGTTTTTAAGAGTCTGGACTCTAGATCCAATGAGTGTGTGTTTTTTTTCCAGTGCATCTCCATTGACTCGATGCACTGTTCGCCGTTATATGGGCGCCAACGTGGCAACAGAGGGGTGATTGATCGGGTTCAGGGCCCATGCGGAAGATGGCGAGATTCGGGCATCTCAGCGCGGTGTGGTGCGGCGGTCGCGTGGCGTTGGCGGTCGGTAGTGCCAGGATGCAAGTGCAATGTCTTACCTTGGCCCCAAGATGCGTCCCTCACGCCCATCGGCTCCAGCTCCGTCGCTGCCCTCAGACTCCGGGTTGGAAGCGGCGTCGTTTTCGGCGTCGGCGACGTCGCTGTACTCCTCCTCGAGGCCCGCCTCCGCCGAGTCCGCAGCCGGCGCCGATGACACTTGCACCAGTAGCCCGGCTACCTGCTCCACAAACACATATAAAACGAAACAGAGCTTTTAATAGAGTGCTGCAGACCTACGGCACGCGGTAGAGCGAGCCAATGAAAGCGGTCGAATGCGATGCGGAAACTCTAGAAGCTTTCACTGATATGTTCCTTAATATAAAACATAGAGGTTTGAAAGTTAGTCCATTGGTTTGAGCATGTAGCATCGCGTCCAAGATCTTGGACTCCATGCTCATCGCTAAATTTTCACTTCTTCGCTTGAGCATGAAGTCCAATATCACGGAGACCTCCCTCAGTTTTAATGTCCACAGAAAATTGCCAAATTTTCTTATCTAATCTAACCGCAGCTAACTTGCCTAAATTAACCAAACCTAACAATGCACAGTTTTTTCGTCTTCATTTCACAAAAATTGTCTTGCTAAATTTTTGGACCCAGTGATCATCTTATGTCAGAGAATATCTGCATCCCACAAATTTGGAAGCTATGCTCACTTTGATTTTTCGGAACAATTATTCCTCATTAAAGTGAGCATCGAGTCCAAGATCTTGGGCGTGATGAGCAGCCAAGCATTATATGTATAAATAAGCATGGGGTCCAATATCATGGACGCAATGCTACATTACCATCGGGGCTCTCCTAAAATTAGCTTCAAAAAGTGTCTCTTAAAATTCATAAAGTGACGAATCAGCAGCATAGTAATCCAAAAGTCCCGCATCACTTCCAGCAGGGATTTTCCTTTTTTTTCAGAGAGGTCCACCTAAAATTTCGGGGCATCCCAAAGGTTTCCTCCTTGGACTTACATCAACTTACTTTTTCAATGAGAGAAAATTTCAGAAAGCTAGAAATTACTAATTGATCAATTGACCATCGAATGGTCCTCAAAAGTGATTCTTTACTTTAATCAGTCCATTTTAAGAGAAGCTTTGTCATAGTTAAGATCCAATTCTATAGAAGCTACATCCATTCGAATAGAGAACACGTTTAGTTACGTCATCCCTGAATCTCTCCGGATATTCTCAAAACTCATGTTGCCGCATTCTGAGCGTGATGTCAGGCTGGAGCTCTCCTCAATGATGTTAAATCACTGCTGAAAAAGTTAATGCGTTCGGTGTTTTCACCGTGGGTTGCATCATCGAGTTGACTGACTGAGCCATCGACCACGGGTCATTGGCATGCATCCGGACCCGACCTCGACCTTGGATCACGTGACTATGGTCACGTCATCTTTATGTAGGTAAAATTTAGTTTAGTGGGGACGGAGGCGATTCGATTTTTTGAAGGTTCAGTGAATAAGAGATTTAATTATTTAACGTTTGACCGCCCATGAGAAAATTAGCCGTAAGTTCACGGAGGCAAATCTCAGCAGAACAATTTTTGTGTAGCTGTGCGTCGAAAAAATCATATTTTGAGATTTCGACGGAAGATTCCTTCTTTTGTGCCAGTGAAGGGCATACAGTTGCATTATAAATTGTCAATTTTACATCCTAAAAATAACAAATTAAAAAGGAAACGAGCTCTGGTCGAAGAGCGTAAGCCCGGAAAACCAAATTTTACAGAAGGGGGATCGAAAATAATTTTTTTTCTCGTCATCCAGCGTGACTAACATTTTTTTAAGTATTCAGAGGACGGGTACATATTTTTCGATGGGAACTGTCTTTTCAGGAAAATGGGGAATTATTTAACCAATTTTGGACTTACACCCCATTTCTAGAAAACGAAGGTTAACTGAGACATTCTCAAGCAAAACAGATAGGCTGAAAGTCTGTTTTCATAATTGTATCACTCATTTTAACCTGTAAAGTCAATTTAGAAGCTTTCCTCCTCAAAAGAAAAAAAAAAATTAAAAAAAACAAACAAAAATGGAATTTGCCCTTCTATCAGAACCGATTTAATTTTACGTGGTTTTTTCTCGAAATATACAATTCTTTTGAACTGAAAAATTTAGACTGCGTTTGTATACTACTTCTTCCTGCCTTCATATTCATTACTCATTTCAGGGTTCTTGCAGACTAAGGGTCGTTTCTTCGTCTTACTTATACTAGACTCTGGCTTGGAGTTGGAGACTTAAACGCAGGTGTAGAAAAAAAAAGAAGAAAATTCTAAAAACCAAGAGAATCAATGTGCGACGATTGATAGGTAAGAACACTTATCTGTAGAGATAATAACGAATATAATCCCTTCCCTCTTCATAATTTTTTTCCAAATTGTGTTGAAAAAATAGGACTCGAGTGGGTTCCCATCCAAGAGGATACATTCCGTGATTGTGACCATTTTGGAATCCGTGCGGGCGTCTCCAATGGCGTGGCGTGCTTTACGGGATATCAATTGTTCTGCCATTTAAACCTATGGAAAAGGATCGATATGCAGGGTGTTCGCAACGAACACCTTAATAATCGATTATTTACCGTAGCTTCCAATGGGGAAATATCGATAATCGATCATTCACGCCTCGCCATTGCGACTCATCACTTGAGGTGACTCACCTGTTTGGAGTAAAATATTTTACTTCGTCACCCTCATTCAAGATAATCAGAAAATTTAAAAATCTCTCTCGCAAATCTAGAATCAGTCATTTTTAGACTTTCCTTCACGTGTTGATCGTGATTCTTCAGCAACTTTATGCTCAAGAGTCAGCTTTTTTGATTCTGCTGGCAAAATGTTGGGACTGTTACGTTTGGAATATAAACACAAAATAAACCCTGTCGATTCTTTTTGAAAAAGAGCTGCTTGACATAGTAAACTTTTAGTTTCACCACTTCGGAAGCATCGAATGAATGACTAATTTACAATATCTCTCGTGTGGGTAATGCATTTACACTACAATCAACTTTTCATTATTCATATTGGTACGCAACGAGATTCCCTCTGTAAGACTCTCAACTATGTGCTCGTATTCCGTGGTCGAATGCGTCTAAAACCGAATTGATGACCTAGTATTATCTGTCTGTCTTCTTGTAATGTGCGACTGCCCTGTTTTAGAAAACACACCGTATGCATGCACAATTACAGAGGAAGCCTTTCCTGATTTTAAGAGCCAAAACTTACCCCTCTAGTAACTTTGCATCCACTTCCCGTGACTACACTGAAAAAAAAAAAAAAACACATTGGATCTAGAGTCCAGACTCTTAAAAACATCGACAAGAAAAAATACTCTTGATTCAATCAGATCTAAGCTTAACTCAAGAACCAAGCCTCTTAATTTGAGCGGATTTCCTTTTGATTCAAGCAAAAATCCGATTGAATCAAGAGTATTTTTTCTTGTCAATGTTTTCAAGAGTCTGGACTCTAGATCCAATGTGTTTTTTTTCCAGTGTACCTCCAAGCATGAAAACACAGAGAATTGAAATCTTAAATATTAACCAAAATTTCTTTAACCACAAAATCAAGAAGTTTTGGCAACAACAAAAATCTGCCGTGGTCAATTTATCTTAGATACATACTCATTATTTGGGTCGCGAATCCAAAAAGCCAAACAGTAAATTATTCCAAGAGAGCACCTAATCCATTCATCACCGGAAATATTCTCTCGGGTAGCATTGAACGATAACGACACCATTAATTTGGCGAAGTCCTAAAAAATTAATGAAAAAAACTGACAATATTCAGAACCGGTTTTGGATATGCAGATTCAATTTGATCGCAGCGTGCAATTGTTTCTTATGGCCAGGGGTCAATGAACACGGAAAAGTAAAAATTCCAACTGAATTGCGGACACTTATTTAATTCAGGATTGCGATCTATAAAGGCACGTTCTAAATTACACCTTTTTAAGAAATAATAAACGTGCAATGTTTCTCGAAAGAGAACCAAGTGACGTCACTTGTTGCCAAATTTCATCGGACTCTGTTTTAAAAAACTCTGTCTTGTCTTAAAAATGTCAGATAACTTTCTCCGCGTCATATAGAGCAAATTTTCAAGAGAATCGTCACAACCATTGTTTTATGAGAAAAAATGCAGCTAGCAACGGCTGGTGGTTTTTGGTTCCGTTTTGAGAAACACACCTCATTTTTTGCACTTTTGACTTGCCCGGAAGTTGAAAAAACTCAACATACTTGTTGAAACACAATTATCACACCGCCTCGCTGGCACTGATGTCAGCACTTTTTTTTCCACAGGATGCACCAATTTTTTTCCAAAATTGAAATCGCTCATCACTTCATCGCAAACGAAGCATCATTCCGCACACTTTTGGAAAGGACCCTTTCAATGTCCATTCAATACTTTTTTCATTCGGTAGCCGCTGTTTTCTTCTCCTGTTGAATTTGAGTTTCCGGTGTTATTAGATTTAAACATCAACAGCTGGTCGATTGTTGATTCGTTATCGAATGCCTTTGATCGATAACTCCCTATCTTCACAATGCTATATATCGATCAAGGTCATCCGATAACGATTCAACAATGACCCGCAGGTTAGGGTGGTCCAAGTTAACATGGGGAAATTTTTTTTTGGCCCAATGAACCGCGACTCAACCTAAATTTGTTCCTTACCATCCAAATGTGATACCTGCCAAATATTTTCGTTCTCCGACAATATTAACACGTGCCGACTTGAGGCTGAAAATCTCCCAAAAAATTACATTGATTTAAATGGGGCGAAAATGGGCCGATCCGCGGTATTTCGTTTTTCGGCTGTAAAATGCGCCAAAATGCAAATAACTTGCTCTTAACTTACGATGATACCTGGAGGCCTATTGTGAATGAGAAAATCACACATTCGACCCATTGGGAGGGGGGGAGGGGGTCACAGCGGAGCCGATTCCTATAGGCTCCGCGGCCCTGCGCGAGGCTCCATGCGCCAAACTGATAAGAGAGGAACGCGCTCGCATTTTCGGGCTCCCTGCTCCCTGATACGCATTGCCGTATTGCAAATTAAATGATGTTATTTTTAGAGTTTCAAAAGCAAATCAAGTGACCTGCTGATAAGCACATTGCAACAATGGTTTGCTGGTAAAACTGCTGAGTTTTGCAGAAAATCTCATGTTTTCTGGGAGCGGAGTGCATTTGGCAGTCAGAGTCTGTCCGCCGATCGATCATCGATGCTTCCATGATATGTTTATGAAACTATGGCTCTTTCAAAGCCAACTTTGTGAACAGAACGAAACGTGTATCTACGCGGCAATTACCCCCCTGTAATTGAAGGGAGTAAACTCCCGTCAAAGAAACAAGTTTTACGCGTATTGTTCTTCAATTTACGAGAAGTCCAGTTAAGTTTACGCGACAGTGCACACCTGGTGGTCCAGGAAGTTATCATTTTCTGGAACAAAGCGAGAATTCCAGTGCATTACAATTCTCGTTGTGTTAAAAAAGTGGAGGATCTTTATGAACAATGGAGGTACTTGCAGGAAATGCGAATAAGTGCCGAGATGTCTTTTCAGAACGTAAAAAATCTTTCATCGATGAACTAGCCGATTATCAGGGAGTAAAATAAGACGTGGCCGGCGTCGTTTTTGGATCAAATGGAACTAATTTAGGGAGCGACGCGGTCCATTTCCCGAAGTTGCCCGAGCGTATCACACTAGCGCATGATGCTTTACGCGGCGCCCCAGCGCCTATGATATCGGCTCCGCTGTGACCCCCTCCCCCCCCTCCCAATGGGTCGAATGTGTGATTTTTTCATTCACAATAGGCCTCTAGGTATCATTGTAAGTTAAGAGCAAGTTATTTGCATTTTGGCGCATTTTACAGCCGAAAAACGAAATACCGCGGATCGGCCCATTTTCGCCCCATTTAAATCAATGTAATTTTTTGGGAGATTTTCAGCCTCAAGTCGGCACGTGTTAATATTATCGGAGAACGAAAATATTTGGCAGGTATCATATTTGGATGGTAAGGAACAAATTTAGGTTGAGTCGCGGTTCATTTTCCGAAGTTGCCCAGTTTGGACCACCCTACCCGCAGGTCCGTTTGTGAAAAAATTGGAAAATTTGCCTCAAACTCAAGAGAAGCATTTATCCAGAGAAACTAGAAGAAAGTCGCCATTTCTCAGGCAAAAGAACGTAACTAAATATCTAAGTTGCGAAATTTATGTTAGTTTCAAAATTATTTCGGTTATTTTTGAAAGCTTGGAATGGAGTCGCAATCCTTCGTCCGCGAACCGACGGACTGGGAGAAAATCTCAAGTTTCTTTCAAAAAATTTTGGCCCAGACTTTCGGAAAAATCACGGAAATCTCAGGGATTAGAACCACTAAGAACCTGGATACACAAATCACTGAATCAGAGGAGCCCCCCCCCCTTAAAAAAAACTGGATCAAAATGCAATTTGAAAAAGCGGTTTTCATGATGGAATTCCGGGCCCCCGTCACGCACCGAACGAGTGTCGACGGATTAAATCGCGAGCGCGTCTAAAACGAAAATTCGGGTCCCGATCACGAGGTGGCGCGGTGTTCGAATTCCGAAAGGACTGAAAAATAAAGGTAGGAAATTCTTACCAGGAAAATGAGTATTGTCGAGTAATCCATGAGGCCGCGCACGAGAATGAAGCGCCGCGATGCGCCCGGCGCTGGGCACGCAGCGGCCCCTCCAAGTCCCACTACAAAATCGGATCCGCTAGAAAAAGCTACAAGCGCAACTTGGCCCCGCGACCTTGAACTTCAGTCGGCGCGCCTCGCATGCCCAAAACGGCGGATATGCGTGGGAATCCCCATCGCACTTACGTGCTTCTACCACAGTGCGGCAGCGTCGTCGTCGGTAGGAGTAGAGCACCTGTACACAGGAGAGTATTGCCATCTCAATCCTTTTACTACAGAAAAAGTGTGCCGCTCTCTGATTGGTCGACTATCACGGAGCCCCAAAGTTGGACCGATGTAAACAAACCCCCTAGCCCCTCCGCTCCTACTTTGGCTCAATGTAAGCAAACACGATGGCGACAAAGTTCCACAAAGTTCTATACGTGGTTTTGGATGTGATAGAAAGATCACAAAATGATCGAACTTTGATGGATATTTTTGCCGAAAATTAAGATTTGAGTGTGATTATCATTCATTTCTCAGCCGATAATACGTGTTCCTCTGGGTCGGGTTTGTTTACATCGGACGAATTTTAGAGCTCCACAACTGATGAACCAATCAGAGAGCAGTACAGAGATGGCAATACTCTCCCGTATACAGGTACTCTAGGTAGGAGCAGAACGGACTTTTATCGCACTTTACACACGACGAACGACAAAAGCCTTTTGTTTGAAATCAAAAAAAGAATCTTCTAGATACTAGACTACTATCTATCCTACAGGGTGAAAGTTTAAGTCGGAAGTCAACGCTCAGATTCGCCACTTATGGCCCATTAGTGCGGATCAATTGGTTTAGTACACCTAACCTAATTTGCAGACTTGCGCTCTAAGTAATTCTCGTCCCAAGAGACAGTATCTTTTAGGGACTCCGCACTACAATCTAAAAAAATATAATCGGGTGAAGTTAAAGTTAAGTTCAGAGGTCAGCGCTACTTTTCGTTTCATGACGATCGATGAATATTGAGGTGAGCAGCATTTTGTGACGTGATTTTTAAGAAATTAGGTCAAGTTTGCCAAAAATATCCCTCAACGCTTTGATCATCAGCTAGCATGAAGCGAATTTGAACGTGGATTTCCGAAAATGCCTTTTAGTCCAAGATACCAGCGCAGGGTTTCTAAATATATTTATTTAACGTAAGAATGAGCGAGAGGGGACTCTGCCTAGTAGGGCGAAATGAGCTTTGCGTTTTAGATCACGAACAGAAACTTCGCGATGCGTTAATCTCGTAAGAATAATGCAATACAATGGATCATTTAAGGTAATTGTTCAGAATTTCATTCCAGAATCCTCAAAAAATAATCTCTGAATATCCCAGTTTAGCGGACAATCGCTCTAAAAATATCTTCAGAATGTGCTTGCGCCGACTACATCTCTTTCCCCTATCATAATGAGCGCCATACGATGCAATACCCGAAATAAAGCTCCAATAACTTAAAATTATCAAGCCATAACTCGAAATAATTTGGCGACAGTGCCTTTTTCTCCATATGTTGCTGTTCAATTGCAATGTTTTCTTTTCGTTTGTTTGCATTACACGGTGTCATTTTTTAAGATCCAGCGTGGGAAAACTCTCGCATTCAGAAAGCTTCGCTTCAACATTACATTGTCAACGCTTCGCTATGAAAATGTTTTTATAACATTGAGATACACAAGTATAGTCACTTCGTTTTGCCGATGGAGCAATAGATTCGCACGAATGCACCTAAGATCGAGTACGAATATTTGCTTTGCGTTGGAAAATAAGGACCTTCAAACTTGAAAAAATACAATCATATGCGTATCTTAGGTATTTGCGATGATGCACTTTTTGTAAGAACATTTTGTTCCTGTGAAGGAAAATCACCCATCAACATCGATCTTTGTAATTTTCTGAGCATTTCTGAAGTTTATCACACATATTAAATTGAAAGCTAAATGTTGAATTAAGCCGTGAATATAATCTTAAGACCAAGCTGAGTTATTCCAAAATTAATCGGTAAAACTCATGAAACCTGTGGGGTGGCCTTAAACAGGAAAAAGTAAAAGAAGGGAAAGGCTTCTTTTATCAGTTGCGAGTATGATTCACATCTAATTAATTACAGTGTAATGCCAGCTTGATAGTTTATTGATAGGTGACCGGTCAGCTCAAACTTTTGTGTGCTTAACTGTATGTTTTTGGCCGTCCCTAGTTTTTGAAGGGGCATTTGTGAAGATGCCTGAGTTTTCTCAATTTTCTGCTCTTTTACACGTCATTATTTTAGTAAAACTCATTGCGTACCTACCATCCACACTGACATCCAATGTTTTTCTTATTTTTCGCTTGTGTCAAGAAAAAATATTTATCTTATAACTCATAATCGCTTTACAACTACCAACAATCGTCTCGTTATTAGTGGATAAAAATATTCCTTATGCGTTAATACTAGAGAAGAGACCTCCTCTCTATTGAAAAAGCAATAACATCAAGCCACATTTAGTTTCTAGAATTTTATCAATATTTTTGGTGAGAAGCATTTCTGAGAAAAATTTTGGGTTCTAATGAATTCTTCACTTCTTCTTGACATCATGACTTCCAAAAAGTATGACAATAGTAACTAGAATCCAAAAGAAGAATTATAATTCTTATCGTCTGCTATTAAAGATCAACCCGTCTGCGATTTGAAAATGATTCATGCACACAATTTGTCATTCAGATAGCTTCCATCTTGAGTCATGTGAAATGATTGCAATAAAGCATACTTATGCTGTCGTCTGAAGAAGGAATTTCAATGTACTTACAGTGACAGTTTCTTCATAAATAGCAGGATGTAGAGATTGTGTGACAAATACAACTGGCATTTTTGAACAGAGAGGGATGATGGGAAAGTGAGACACGTATTTTGCAATTTTTGCGTATTGATTTTTCCTAAACGTTTATTCATCCACATTACTTTCAATTCAATCTGTTACTAAGATTTAAAACTTAAGCACTGCAAGGAAAGTTTACCAATATCGAATCGAAGTCTAGTCAAGAGAAATGGACCATAAACGTAGCAAAACGAAACAAAAAAAATATAAGAAACCTATCTTACAGTCCCAAGTACACAATACAAGATTCACACTGAGCCGTCCTTGTTACTACACAATAGTGGCACGAATTATGAACTTATTCAGATTTTTTGAACAGCCCCTCTAAATTAAATAAAAATTGACTTGAATTTGAAAAACCCATTTTGAACCAATACAATGTATGGACGGAAAGTGGCGACCCACTGATTTTAAATAGAGCTAGGATCCATGATGAACCCAACATCAAAGACTCGACTTTAAATTTTCATTTTCAAATTGAAAATTAATGCTTCAAACTGAGACTCATTATATAACAGCCAAACTCATAATTTTTAAATTATTTTCAAAATGTGTTTCAATCAAAATCCGTGTAGATACAATAAAGAATTGAGGAATGTGACTCGAACATAACACAAAATAGAACGAGATCAAGCAAATGTTTGTGATGATCATACGATGCATTCAACGTCGTATTTGGATACCAAAGAAATCTCCGAGCATTTTAATGCTCCAACCCTACTTAGCATAAAAAATAAAATGGCACATACACTTTAGGATCAGCAAACGTTAAAGCTGGCTGGCTTAAATTATTCGGAATAGGCAGGAAATTATCCCTAAACGAATTATGAATGACAGGGAAAATGTTGGTAAATTTTACGCCAGAAAATTAAATTTTGAGTCATCTTCAAAGTTTTAACGAGAAGTGGCGAAACTCTCACGTGATAGCTATTAACTCAATTAGGACATACATTATTTTACAAACTTCGCCTTAGTATAAAAATTACTATAATTCTTCGCGTAATAATGACCAACGCTGCCGTGCTAAGGAAGAACGCCGTATGAACATTCGAGAATTGCCAAATTTCCTTCGACAAAATGTTTATTTTTGAGGAAGGTTATGAATATTTTTCCTCAAGAATTTCAGGAGCTTCAGGTGAAATTGCAAACATTATTATATGAAAAATTGGAAGAAAAATATTCACGACTTTACCAGGAAATTCCTGTTTTTTAAAATGGAAGTTTGGCAACGCCTGACGGTTCTCAGGGCGTTTTTCCTTAACGCGGCAGAACTTATGCCAATATTCTGTCGAGGATAGTTCGTCAATTAGATCACGGTAAGGAACAGTCATGGTAAAACAGTGCGGGAAGGGAACGGATATAATCCAAAGGTCCTTCTCCCCGTTTGTGAAATTTAGTCGGTGGTGGAATGGAGATCTCAAGACGAGTAGTCGATGTGGTAGCCTTTGCTCTTCGAGTATTTGGCGACGGGCTTCTTGGGTTTGGAGCCGGGTTTCTTGTCCCCGGTGATGACGACCTCGATGTCGGGGTGACCGGCGATGGCCGTGCTTTTGGGCGCCGAGAGGGCGAGCCCCCTGTCCCCTACGATGGCCTGCCCGGTGGGGCCAGCGCCTGCCATGCCTCCTTGCCCCGCGGCGGCCAGAGCTTCAGGTGACGCTTGAGCGATCAGATGACCTGCCGAACAAAACGAAAGACGGCCCTTGATTAAATTTGCTCTTCTACGGGGTAACATTTAAAAAGGAATGAGATATGATTGATGCTCCGTAGCCCGTGACAAGATATACAATAATAAAACAAATTTTACAGCGGGCAACAAGGCTAATTTTCACAAAATGCTACCATAACGTTTCCGCCAAAAACTCAGCCTTCTTCGGTTGGATAAAACAGTATAAAAATGGTAAAAATTTAAAAAGTTGTACTTGGCTGTACCTTTCAAAGCGAGAACAATGTTGTTATGAAAGAAATTTTGATAACAGAATGTGATTTGTTTTAGATTGCTACGGGCTTGCTCTCATAACATTACGGAGACCTATAAAAATTGTAATTTTGTCTTCAATGGGTGCGTTTTTTCAATTAATTAAAGTTTTGGAACTTAATATCTGTTACTTTAACAAAAAGGAACCAGGTTTGTTTTTTTCGTGGAAAACAAGAGGGTTTGGTGTTTTTACGGTGCCTAGAAGATCTCCGTAAGAAGCATTGTCCAGTTGGTTACTTTTCATGAATGAATTTCACTCTTTTGAACTTTGAAAAGGGACCAACGGTGTACAATTGTACATGATTCCTTCCTCTGAGTTGATTTGGCTTAAATGGTAACTGACCGAAAAGATGTAACTTTATCATTGGTGGCGTCGATAAAGAAATTGCTGCCTTTTTCTACATTTTGAACGTAGTTACTTTTTCTATGCTGCGTTAAACTCACCGCGCTCAATGACATACATATTGAGAACTGTTTATGCAGGTATTTCTTTTTAAAGTCAGTCCACCTTAATTTCTTTACTTTAATTTTAGTCCGTCGTTCTTATTGCTCTATCAAATGGCATATTTTGCCTCCATGCGCAAGCATCTTCCACTCGATAACAACAATAATGAGACTCAATATGAGAAATCTTTGACACAATGCTTTTTTCGGTCAGAAACGTGTAATGATAGATAAGTTCGCGATTTTATTTTAAAGCTTACCTCACAATATTAAAATTCGCGATCCGATATCATATCATAGGTCTCGTATCTCAGCTTTTGACTTTGGGGGTTTGAGATGTTTCGGGAGAAATTGATTTAATAACGATCTGTAAAATTTATATAGCCTTGAATTAGCGAAGCGTGATGGACTGATCATAGTTTTTATGGTCAAATCAGTGAAATGCCTAATTTCTAAATGGAAATTCAATAGAAGAGTGATTGACGTGATGTTTATATGGTAAGAATTGAGTTTGAGTAAAATTCACTATTTTCTATGTATCCAATCAAAATGGAGAAATCAGCATCGAAAGCAAAACTTTAGCAAGATTTGATTCGATTAATTCAACATCACCAGCGACAGAAAATCTGCAAAGCAAGTTTTAAGAAATTGTGTAGATATTTATTTAAGCACTTTAATTTGACAAAAAGTTATTTTAAAACATGCTTTGTGGAGAGATAACATTCTGACAATGATGTGTAAATAAACTTGGGCGAAGTAATTTTATGTAACAGTGCACTACTGCACAAGAAAACATGATATCATCGATATTTATCGAGGAGGCAGATAATCTTTTTGTATTTAGGTACTTTCCTGACCTTAAGATGAGAGAAAAATCAGGTCATCCGAAAAACAAGAAGGTAGTTAATTGTTGGACAGTAATATTGTGAGTGTAGAAGAAAAAATAAAACATGCAATATTTTTCCTCAGAACCAAATTGAGTGGCATAAAAAGTGCCATAACAATGCATGCATCCTCTAAAAAGAATTCAAAGAACAGGAAGTATACGATGTAAAACTAACAGCAGAATATGACCTCAAACCGCGGAGAAATTCGTTTTAATGAGAGATCAATGGTATAAAAGGAGGTGTTGCGGAGTTAAATAGAATTTATCCAGTACTTCGGAGGTTGTAGGAGAAAGTGTTAATAATTTGAGAATCTTATTTCCGATTCGTACTTTTCACGGCATATCTGTCTTCGCGTGGCTTCATTACTGGACGAACTTCAAATTGCAGTCTCATATAATACTCTGTCCATTTGATTGATTTTAGAGGTAAATCTGTTTTCAATATTTATATTGCAATTTAAACTCTCTACTTTCCGAATATCTTTATTGAAAATATGTTTGTCTACTGAGGGAACGAAGCTAGACGACCGGTGTGCATATATCACCCTGTACACACACACACACACACAAAAAAAAAAAAAAAAAAAAAAAAAAAAAAAAAAAGTCGATACAAATATGACCGTTCTCAGTGATATATACTGAAGACAACATGGTTGTGATTGCCAATTTTTCTGATAATTTTATCGTTTCTAGCAAAAAAAGTTGATTTTTTTTTTTGAAATTCACGTGAGTCCAAAGGTAGGCTTTTTTCAAAATGACCAAAATCCGCCATGTTGTTCCTATGTATACGATACTAAACTTTTACCGTTTGTTTTTTCCCCTGAAGAAATACAGTAATAGAGTTGTGTCTTACTCTCAAATTCAATTCGCTGCAATAAAACGAATCGTTAACATTTTTGAACTTGAACCGTTTCTGTACTTATCGAATTGCACCAGTTTTTAAGGTGCAGGTTTTTATAAGACGCTCTAAAAAAAATGATAAAAAGTGTCTTATAACATGCGACTGATCCTAAAAGAAAAAGTAATCTCTCTGCAGTAAAAGAAATTTATGAAATATTACGATTCGGGTCATTCTCTAACTGAGAGATTCGACTACCAACAACCCACATTCATTTCACCAACTTTTTTTTCGGCAGGGCAACACGGCAGCCCCACGCTCATAATTCAACAGTGCGGGCGGAAAACCGTTCGAAAGGGGGCTTAGAGAGGAGAAAAAGCGAAAAAAAAGCGAGGGGGGGGGTGATTAGAATGCATCCTCGGATGGGAGAGAGAGAAGCATTCCTGATATAGATAAAAGAAAAATTACTGTGGATTTTTAGACGTTGGAGGGACCTTGGATAGAGGCGGGGTCGGCGGAAACCTGCAACGCAGAGACGTGCTGGGCGTAAAGAGGAGATCTTTGGTTCTTGGCGTCGGCCGAATATCTCTCCAGCTCGAGTCGCTTCCCCGGGGCCGCCGCCGCGGCTGCGGGCCGCCCGCGACCGCCGGCCGCCAGTGGCGCGGGCTCTGCCGCCGGACTCTCGTACCGCTGTAACAGAAAGCACACGTCACGTCATCAGTAAGTTTTTCAATAAATAAATGAATATATATATATATATATATCGTCGTTAAATAAAATTAACTAACTAACTATATATATATATATAATATATATGTAAATAATTAAATGATCAAAAAATGTCACCGAGTCATATGAACTATGCAAAACGATTATTCCGATGACGGAACTTGGCTGTTTTGAAAACGCCTTCAAATGCGGCGTGATACCTCACGCATTCTGGAGAGTTCAAATAGTTGTATCATTGCACCGTAAGAATGTGACGGAAGGTTTAAATGGAGATAGCCTCCATGCACGCTGGGCTTGTCGATTTCGTTAACTTTTTTGCGGTCATGAATGCGCTTAAGTGCGCTTCAGCTAGAATTGTATTTCGCAAATGGGTGGTTTTTATAGGAGGATTATAACTAAACAAGTGGTTAGAGATGGAAACAAAAGAATATGAACTATGCAAAACGATTATTCCGATAACGGAACTTGGCTCTTTTGAAAACGTCTTCAAATGCGGCGTGATACCTCACGCATTCCGGAAAGTTCAAATAGTTGTATCATCGCGCCTTAGAAATGCGACGGAAGATTTAAATGGAGATAGCCTCCATGCACGCTGGGCTTGTCGATTTCCTCTGAAATTTTGGCAGTGGTGAATGCATAGCTGAAGTGCGCTTCAGCTAGAATTGTATTTACAAGTGGGTGGTTTTTCTACGAGGATTAAAAATAAATAAGTGGTACGGAATATAACAAAAGAATATGAACTATGCAAAACGATAATCCGGGTATCGGAACTTGGCTGTTTTGAAAACGCCTTCAAATGCAGCGTGATACCTCACGCATTCCGGAGAGTTCAAATAGTTGTATCATTGCGCCTTAGAAATGCGACGGAAGATTTAAATGGAGATAGCCTCCATGCACGCTGGGCTTGTCGATTTCCTCTGAAATTTTGGCAGTGGTGAATGCATAGCTGAAGTGCGCTTCAGCTAGAATTGTATTTACAAATGGGTGGTTTTTCTACGAGGATTAAAAATAAACGAGTGGTTAGAGATGGAAACAAAAGAATATGAACTATGCAAAACGATTATTCCGATAACGGAACTTGGCTTTTTTGAAAACGCCTTCAAATGCGGCGTGATACCTCATGCACGCATTCCGGAGAGTTCAAATAGTTGTATCATTGTGCCGTATGAATGTAACGAAGATTTAAATGAAAATAGCCTTCATGAAAAGAGCACATTTGTTCGTCGTCATATCGTGGTTTTTTGTACAATGGTACTATTCGGCACACCGTAATTTTGAAATTTGATGAAGTGTAACTCGAAAAATTTGAAGCAGGGCAACAATGGAAATTAGAGAACGTTGAAGGCAAAAAAAATCTCTCTAAGTACCTCCGAGGCATTGATCATCGCTTCGTGTCAATGTAGGTAAGTAAAAGATTGAACTTTTGCCTTTCGGAAACCTATCTCTAATGGACAAGGCCTTCCATTTATATGAAATGAACGAAAAAATTATGAAAGAACAAACATAAATGTGGTTTAATAAGTTTAACTTCCGCCGCTGCGCCGCGCCACGCTGACCGTACTGTGCAATTGGTGCAATGCGTGAAGTATTCATGCAGTCTTGTAGGCGCTATGCGTTTCACGGCGCCTGCTGCTGACCGCAGCGACCGCACTGTGTTTGACGCAACGCGTGATGTATTCATGCAGTCTTGAAGGCGCTAATATGTGTTACATGCCGACCGCCGCGCCGAGGGTTTCTCCTTTTCATCTCAAGATCTCGTCATCATCGGCATGTACCTGCGCCGCGCCGTTCCAGGCCAAATTCCGTGTTCGGTTTCTCTCTTAGTCTTAACTCGACTAATTAAAGGTGCTGTCTATTGTATCACAGAAAGACGACAAAATTAGAGATATACTCTCGGGAAATGAAAGATTTTGTCATCTTTTCTCGTTTCTAATTTTTTTTCCTGAATCAGATTTTTCTTTATAGCTACATTTAACAAAATTACAAAATTTGCCGCTCCCTCAATTTGCCGCTATGGGCCGCGGCCCATGTGGTCACCCCCTAAATCTGGCCCTGCACCTGACGGCTATGTTAACTTATTGATCAGATATTATGATTCACTTTAGAGTGTATACATATTTGTAATGTAATGAAGTGTTCCTACATCGTCAAGAAAATAAATTTTGATGTAATGTTACGTTTTCTATGATACCATGTCGCCTAATAATACATGTAAAATTCTCACAACTGTCGAGCAGGCATTGAATATTCAAAACATTTTTTCCCGAACCGCTGAGCCAACCAATTTTCATAACTACACCATTCGTCACAAGAAATTGCAATTTATTCTAAACATTGATTTCTCACTAAATGAGACGGGCTGATACATCCAATCACATGTAAGTAGGATTTGCGAGACATTGCCCTCGTACACTGAAATCATTTGGGGCTATAAATTATCAAACCACTTTTTGACAAACATCACTTATTCTCTGAACTTGTGCGGTATACCCGCGTTTATTTCTGACGGAATGGTGCATTTAAATTGCCTTATTTTTCCAGTCTGGAGATTCTCCTGCCGTTGATGGAATTGATTCTACGCTCTAGCAGGATAACCAGCTTATCCAGGAAATCTGCTCCTTTGGTTCTGTCAAAATGTATCCCGGGTCTTCTTAATTTAAAACAAGAACTCTGTCTGGGCAATTTCTTCCGAAACTTGTGAAACAGCCATCAGAGGAGGGACAGGGATGCGCAAATGGGTAAGTAAGTTTTTTTTAACCACTGTCAGAAAGCACTACGTTTCAACGTGCAGTTGAAGTAGGCAATATAAAATAATTTTCACGTAAAAAGTGCAATGTATTCAATGACGGAACGAGATGCACTCAGCACTCATAACAAAGAAGAACTTATCTTTTGTCTTAATGGGCAATGAAACCCACACATGGGCAGATTAAAAATTGACGAAAATTATCGAAACGAAAGTCATCGAACATGATTCATCCACAAAAAAAATGCAGGCATAACTACGTGTTATATTTTTTTAAAAAAAATTAAATAAAAATACGTAACAAAATCTAAATAAAGAGAAGAAGAAAAAGTTTGGAAAACGTAGATTAATTTTGTTAGATGCATGCAATTGAGGTTTCCCATAAATGAATCAGCGTTCCTCAAGGGCGTAAGGAGCTGTGAAATTCTTGCATTTGAAGCCGTTATGCGACAGCGGCCTCTTCGTAGATATTCTCATGAATCACTCCTTTCTACAAAGGTGCAGATATCTTTGTGTTGACTTTTTCAGTATTGAAAATATATTTTTCCTCACGAGCATCTCATATCAACATCAGTCAAAATTCCACACCGCAAACGAGACACTTGGTGTGGGAGTTCCACCGTCGATTTATTACTAGAAAAATTAAATAAAATGAAAATGAAAAATCGCCCCTTTCCTCGAACAAAAATCACCTGTTCAAAATACCTAACATGTTCAACATTAAAGTTGCTCTTGCTTAAATGCGCTTATAATAATGCAACACAAAGTAAGCAGAATTGTTGAAATGTATCATGACTCGGATTTACCGGTGTTAGTTTCATACTTTGTTCATTCAGTGTAAAAGTACCTTTGTTGGAAAATTCGACTTAATGGGTACTTAAGGTTTTGTCATCAACTGATTCCTCGACCTCAAATCCCTTGGCATTCCGGGGGATGACGTACCTGTTGCGTGTGCTGGAATGCGGGTTGTTGCTGGTTTTTAAGGAACAAGTAGTTGGAGACAGCGCCGTGAGAGGCCGCGGTCAGTTTGTCAGGGTCCTGGCTCACGCGGTTCTGCGACGGGTACGGCCCGAAAAACTGGGGCTGAGCGCCGTACAGGAACTGGGGGAACTGGGCGGTCGCTGCCGGGTTCTGCAATCCGGCAGGAGCTCCGTCCTTCTGGTTGCCTACGCTCTCAGGCGCCGGTTGCTGGTTGTAGAACACCTGGGAAGGCTGCTGCTGTTGGAGCTGTTCTTGTTGAAGCTTGATCTGCTGCTGAACTTGTTGGATCTGTTGCTGTTGGAGTTGCTCTTGTTGTTGCTGGAATTGTTGTTGCTGGAGCTGCTGTTGCTGGATTTGCTGTTGCACTTTCTGGGGCTTCTGCTTGTTTTCCTCCCCTTCATTTTCCTCTGAAAAATTTCGGCATAACATAATCGTATCTGGTGCAGATAACGTGTCAAAATAGTGTATCGAATTCAAAACGGTCACTAAAGTCGAAAAATTCGTATCTCTTTCGTAACATTCAAAAATGTTCAATTATAATTTATATATTTAAAAAAAAACACGTAGAATATCTCCCTAAAATTATAATTAATTAAATTATTTTTAAATATTAGGTGAAGAAAATTTACAAACATTTTCAAGAAAACTCTTTTGTTATAAAAAAAGAATTAAATATAAGCGATACCTTGCAACTTCGCAATTCTAGCACAATTTTTCACATTAACACCAGTGAATCTGTAAAGAATTCCAACAAATTGCAATGGTGCATGAATAACCTAATATTTTTTGCAAGTTGATATTATCTACTCTCATTAGTTTACCAAAAACCAGAGATGCAATTTACCAGTAAAGAAAAACTCATGATTAAAAACGTACTCAATTATAACGAAAGGAACTGATTATTTACACGTGAGGAATATTGCGCTAGTTACGCTGCTATTATTACGAACATTATATCACGCTAAGGAAACCTAGCTGCACTTTTTACAATGAGTAACTGCTATTCACAGCTCATCCTAGAAATAACACATGTGTGCCAGGAGACTCCATATGCAGATAGATGCTATTCTGGATGAGCCAGAAATAATAGTTTCTACTCGCAAAATTCAATCAAATTATTCGATAGGCAAGCGATATTAATTGCGTTTACCACTTTGTTGTTCTTCGCTTTGGCTACTTTGGCCACCTTGGGGATATATGCTGCTGGGGATATAATTTTGCCAATTACTGAAGAAGTTACTCCATCCACCTCCTCCACTTCCCTGTTCGTCTCGAACGTAGGCCGGATAGGGAGCGCCAGGCTGGTAGTAGACGAAGGGACTTGCACCATAAGGCACAGGTGCCTGACCCGGGAAAACCGGGTAGTATTGGAACCCGTCACTGCAATCAAGCAATTCAAAATGTCAATGTGGATCTCTCTCACCAGTTGCAGAATTGTACATCAATGGTCAAATCCTACAGGGGGTCCCATAGGATTAAGTGCACATAATGAGGAAGTCGATTTTTGGGTCAAAAAATGACGATTTTGTGGTATAACTTTTTTTCCCCCCAAAGACGCTTCCCCTGGGAATCACGCCCCTCCCCCCCCCCAAAGCTTGAAGAAAAAAATCGTCTTTCACTGTGACGATGTTTATAAACCAATATTGATGCAAATCGGTGATTAGGGGTAATTTTTAACGTTCTTTTCATTGTTGACCTTCAAAAAGGATGAACCTCATTTTGAGGGGAGGTACAGGGGGATATCAAACCTAGAGGTGGTCAAAATTAATATTTCTAGCGACAAAAATTGACTATTGACGGTACCGCTAGATTTAGCGTCGAGAAATATTGAGTAAAAGTATCTTGCGTTTTTTTGCCATAACTCATTGTTTTCGAGATAAAGGGGACTAACAGGGGATAATAGGGGGATAATTGGGCCCCTACGAAAAGCGTTTTTGGAATAAAAGTTATACCACAAAAACGTCTTTGTTTAACCCAAAGAATCGACTCCTTCAATATTCGTACTTAATCCTGCGACGCCCTAGAAATAGCTTGATGCATCGGTTAAAGGCCAGGTGTCGGGTCACGCATTTTGTTAACTGCTTAGACATACGGTCGATTTTCCTCGATCAGATTAAAATGCATTTTTCACGATTGTCAATTGTGATTGTGGGATTGTGAATTTTCTGTAAAATTTTAAATCTGTTCAGAGCAGTGTGATTTCTATTTTGTGAATCGTGTGTAAAAACACTGTAAAAACACGTATCACACTCAATGCTGCATACATATAATTGTTACCACGAAATAAATATCGTGAATACGACTAGAGAGGCAGGTGTGACGTGGAATCCATAAGGAACATCAAAAGATTAACTATTCTTTTTTCTCAATGAATGCCTTCACTACGGCCTCCCCCAACTTGGTGTCACCGAGCATCAGTTCTTAATGGACATGTTGCAAACTTTTGCCAAAGCAAAAGAGTTGTTCTTTATAGATTATTTCCAAAAACACGATAAGCACATCGGCAAACTCTGAAATGCCCTCCTATAAACTTCACAATCTGCGTAAGAAATTTGCGTTGTTTTAAGCTTCCCGCTTAAAAAGAGATACTATAGCACAGGTGAACATTTCGTCAGAGGAGTCGTTCCATTCAATCCCCGCTCAACACGGCCGGCGCTTCCGCGCGCAAGTTGAGGAGAGCACGATATCAATCCAGGCGGATATCTATCAACGCGAGAAAAATGTGAATGTAAACACGCAGATTGTTATCAGGTGGTTAGAATCATCGTCTCGTCACTTATAATTTTGGCGGATTGGCGTCGGCTATGTTGAACATTGCGTAGTGTCCTTGTGAGCAGGGGCTGGATGGAATGACTCCTCTAGCGAAATGTTCACCTGTGCTGTGGTATCGTTTTGAAGCGGGAAGCTCGAAAAAACGCAGATTTCTTATGCAAATTGTGAAGTAAGAAGTGCATTTTAGACTTTGCCGATGCGCTCATCTTTATTTTTGAGACCGCCTCTTTATGAGTAACAACTCTCATTTTTGCTCTAGCAAAAGTTTGCAACAAGCCGATTCCCTCAATTTTTCCACGTAGGTTTTGTATTTTCGCATTCAGGTCTAGTTTACTTACACGTAGTTAGGTTTAAGCTGGGGGATGGTGTACGAGACTTGTCTTGCAGGCAGAGGGGCGGCTGCTTCGATGACTTTGGCCGGGCCCGGGTACTGTCCGTTCGGCAGGATGAGCTGAGTCAACACAACTTGACGTCCATGCGCCTCCGGCGATCTTTCGGCGGCGAGCGCCACCGCGCCAAAACACAACAACACAATCTGCCGACAATCACAAAATTATCAAACTACAATCAATTCAAATCAGTGGGAAGATTCATTCAATCACAAAATCGCCCCCCCCCCCCCCCGAGGTGGTGTAAGTTCTCGTGCTTGTGCTTGCTAACCACATGACGATACAGAGGCATTGCATTTTAGCAGTGGCGTGGCGTGAATTGCGATATATCGATTAATATGCCATTTAAAACTATAGAAAAGGATCGATAAACAGGGTGTGCGCAGCGAACACCTTAATAATCGATTCTTTACCATTGGTTCTTATGGCATAACAATCGATGCATCGCAATTCACGCCACGCCACTGCATTTTAGGCACCACTCTTCTTCACCCAATCGTGTGTGGCATAGGGGAGGTTCACTTAGAAATTGTTCCAAAAAAAGCCACAGTTTCTAGTCGTTCACTTATTATACAACAGATACTATTTGGACTTACTTTAATAATATGTACCAAGTCGCAGTGAGTTAGGTACTTACTACAGAAAAAAAAAGTTTGAGGTTTTTTCCTCCATAACACTAAGTGTAACAAATAAGCTTTGAATCCATTTCTTATAAGCTTTGGATCCATTTTTTGAAATCCAAAAATGTGCGGGCTTTGCTTTCTCGGCACGTAAATGAAGAGTCTTTATTGTTTGTGCTGAAAATAACGCACAACTCGTTTTTAACTCCTTGTTTAAACTCAATTCATTCGTCTCGGATAAAAAAATTACTCGTGTTTTTGATCAGTTTTACAAAAGAGTACGAATTTTATGTTGATTTGACTGAAACGGATTTCAATGTTAAAAAGTTCATGTCTAGCCCTCAATGTCTGACGAGAGAGTTTTATTTCGAAAATTTAAGTAAACAAGGATTTGCAGACGTAAAAAGCTCCGTTTAAAATAACAGAAATTGACTCGATAAATTTTCGATTTTAAAGCAACGAGTAAGAAAAAATATGCAGATCAAGAGAGCCTGTAAAAAAATCTCAGTGGAATGATAACTTCGTGCATCGAGAGTGATCAGAGAGATCGGTAACATTTAATTCAATCGAAAGCATAGTCATTAGACTACCATAATAAGCAAAGACGAATGTGGTGATAGCTCATGAGACCAGAGACAAAAGGTTCAAAGCCTCCCATGTGGAGCCGATGAGCGATATTCACAATTTACCGACTCATGGCTATGGTTGCCAATTTGAGTCGTATCATTGACCTCTTCATTGAGATTAACAAATTTTCATTTTCATTGTAACGTGACTACATTGCAAAAGGTCAATGAGTGGAGTGTTCGAATCAGCTTAACACTGCTTTCGGAAGAGTTTTGTTGAGAGTGAGCACGAATTGATGACTCATATTAAGCGCTTTATTTTGTTCATTTTGGCCGAGGTACTTTATCCTTCCTCAGCGTGTAGTTCGTTTTTCATCTTTTATTTGAGAGCCGCTAATGTATGTTCAAGCTGATCAGAATAAAGTTTAGATAGTTTTATGGGTTGGGAGATGCTCACTGAAAGAGTTGCTGCCAAATAAGTGATTTATTTACAAAAACACCTAAGTGTGCCTAAAAATCAGAATCGCTAGAAAAAGTTGCTTTCCATCTTGTTATAAGCCGTCCAAATATCCCAGCAGCACAATTTTAATCCGCCAAAAATAATTGCCGTAAAATCTGGCAATATAAGAATGGGCTTTTACCGTCATTTTGATTAATTTAATGTTTAGAAGTCGTGTGCATGATTGCATGATGTTTAAGTTATAACTGCATGTAGGGATCGAGAAAACAATATACCCGCTAAAGTGCCCACGTGAATGTCTGTTAAATCTCCATGAGGATAGGGATAGCTTTTGCTGCATGAGAGACTTTCATTAAAATACCACACAATTTTTGGGTGTACTACATGAAAAAAACATCCTAAGACGAGACTCGTAAAATCAGATGACCTTTTTCTAACCGAGTTAAATACTAGATACGTAGATGAAATGACTGTACGTTAAATGAATACCAAAGTCTGCGTAAATTGATTTTAATCACGTGCTGAGGAACAAAGCCACATGGAAATTCGTGATTTGTCAAATTTCTTACAGTAAAATGTTCACTTTTGAGGATTGTAATGAATATTTTCTTTAATTTGTTTAGGTGATTCAGCTCTGATTACATATAAAATTTTCTGGAAAAATTCGAAGAAAAATACTCACTTTTCTTGAAAATTCGTATTTTATTGAGGGAAATTTTGGAACGTTTGAAGGCTCATATGGCGTTCTAACATAGCACGGCAGTGGTAGGAATGCACTTTTATATTATGTCTCAAATTTTTAACTGACTAAAGCTTTATGGAGTTGTATTTGCCACGTTCATGTCTATTGACAGGGTTAGCGAACTAAAAACGTTTGCTGTAATCTACAAGATTGTTTTTTGACTTGTCAAGGAGGCATCAAAGGAGTCAGTTTAAATAGAAATTCATATCCAAGCTGACAGCTTAGCTCGTTGGTACTTTCCGCTAAAGATTGTCGATGTGAACGTGCACGAGAATAAATTTTAGAAGTATCCATGATTTATTTAATTGGTTGAAAATGGCACTAGTTTAAATAGTTCCGCGACTTCGACTTGCAATTCTCTTTCTATTCGCAATCGATCACCGACTGACCTGCGCCCGGATTTTTGGATTGTCGTCAAGCGATCTTGTCTTGTTTGTTGAATCCCTATATTAGCAATGATGTTAATCAATCACATTCAATCAGTGGTGAGGCGTGAATGATCGATTATCGATATCTCCCCATTTGTAGCTGTGGTAATGAATCGATTCTTAAGGTGTTCGTTGCAAACACCCTGTTTGTCGATCCTTTTCTGTAGGTTTAAATGGCAGACATATTGATATTCCGCGATGTACGCCTCGCCACTAATTCAATGACGTTTTAAAAAGCATCCCGCTGGAAAAACTCTGGAGACTTTAACGCAAGGATAGAGAAAAGAGATACTTTGCAAAAAATTGGTTTAGGTCCCATAGACATCTACACAGCCGGTGTCTTTGATGAGAGGTTCTTGTTTGTTGAATCCTTCTATTAGCGGTCATAACTATCGATCAAGGTCATATGAACGTAGGTATTTCTGTCAAACGGAACTATGTGCATTAAGACGTGAGCCCCGAGACTCATAAGAATATATGTGTAACGGGGCTCACGTCATGATGCACATAGTTCCGTTTGATAGAAATACGTAAATATGATGTTTTAAAAATCATCCCGCTGAAAAAAGTCCGGAGACTTGAACGCTGATTATCTTTGATTTTATGATAATTATTGCGTCTTAAAAAGACGCAAGTTCGTAGCAGCGTGGCATAGTTGCAGTGCTCATCCCTGGATCACTTAGGGCTATATTCATAGTTATATATTCAACAACTCCTTGCTTTAGAAAGTCTCCATAACATCTTTGACATATAGCGGCGGCATAATAAGGACAATTTTTACAAGACTCGATGAAAACCCTATACTGTGTGGTATTGCGAATAGATCTTTTCAAGGGATCACCTACAATAATTTGCCTCAATAAAAATGTAAATTACCAAGGAAAAAATATTACGATTATGTAAATTTTAAAGTAGGTGGGTATATAAGTTTGTTAAGAACATTATTCCTTTGTATGTTCTTTAATGTGACAAATTACTATAATCCCTTACAAAGGATCTACTTGTATAGATTTGTAAAACTCGATCTTTTAATGATACTTTGTCCAAGAAGTCCTTCGAATCAAAATGTAAGTGAATATAAGCATATAAGTTTGGTTGCCTGGGACTGGTTGTAGGGATGGAGGGGGACGGGACTAAAGCGCAAGGATTAGCCCTTGTGGGCTATAATGAAGTAGACAAAAAAAATATATTTATGTGCTTTTGGGTGGTTCGAATCTTTAGGAATTATCAACAAATCAAAATGTATGTCGCATTGGGGTTTTATAATAAAAAGAAGAGATGGCCGAAGGACGACCATGAGTACGCCCCTCCCGCCCTAAACAGTATCCTTACACAAAACTCAACAAATTATGTAACCGCATTGTTGTTTCAATCTGACAACTACGAGAGGAGTCTGACAAGTAAAATGTGATAGGGAGTCGATCACGTATATCGTCGGCTGGAGCTTTTGTTTGTCTATTCTTCTGCGAAAAGTATTAGCCACGCGTCTTCGTCTGGTTCTCTTCGTCATACGTCATCGTAGCGTCATCGCGTCGATTGAACTCAGCGAATGCAATGAACTCTCCTCGGGAAAGGCTCGACAAATTTTCCCACTCACAGTTTACTTTTTAATCCTTCAAACATTAAGGGAACCAATCTATTACCAAACGCTCTAATGGACTCGTTTAATGGCACGTCATGAAATTCAACGGAAGCCGCAACGAAGATGCTTCCATTGATGCCAATCAGAGTAGCGCCAAAATGACGTTCGGTTCTATTTATGGGAAATCTATTCTGGCGGTGGACGACTTTATAGCCCTCTATTACGATGTTTCAAAATTTCCGCTCTTTTTCTATTTTTTTTAAAGAATATTAATGAACAGGTTTGCATGATATTCTCAAAAAAGATTCATATAACGACAAGGAAAAATCCCAAAAAATATTAGCTTATAGTCATGATCATCAGTTATCTCTGAACAGAAAAGGAAAATGTGGCAGGTAGTATGGTATACGTATGGCCCAAACCGAGATACGAAGTTTGGTAGTTCGATCATCCATCTCTTTCATTGCTCTCAGTTTGATTATTTCAGCTTGATTGATCAGTCATGATCAATTTTTAACAAATTAATCAAATTTATGTCTAATTAAGTTAAATTTTAATTTAGGGCTCTGGCGGGATCGCTATCAGTGGCGGTTGGGTGTCACAGAGCGCACAGAAGCGCTGTAAGAGTGACTTAGTAGTATCGGTATTAAATTTAGGTTTTTTTTTTAGAGAAAACTGGAGGACAGCGCACTCTTCTACAATAGAAAAGTTTCAATTTACTAGCCAGGTTGATCTTTGGTCCTCTGAT